ACACACACACACACACACACACACACACACACACACATATATTTCTGTGTGTGTGTGTGGGTGTATGTTTATAAATAAATAAAATAAAGCACAAGGAACAAAAATAAAGGAGATAAGGGGGATCATGAAAATCATTAAAAGTGAGGTTTTATTAACAAGACATCTAACTCAAGGGGCTAAGACAGATCAAGCTCTTCTAAAAAAATTGTGCAGTTTAATTGCCTGGGGCTTATTTATTATCTTCAGAGATTTACACAACAGGGAGAGTTCATTTAAGAGCAGACCATCAATCTTATCTTGCGGTAATGAACCGTTTTTTAACACAAGCTTCAAAATGCTTCAGAGAGCTTCATTTTGCCCTCATTAAATTTAGTGTTTATTTGCTGGTTTGTTGACGGTAGGGCTGGGTATCGTCTCTGATTTCAATAATTGATTTGATTCCGATTCACAAGGTCCCGAAATTTTTCCTGAGAAAGTCAGAAATATAATAATTCTAAACTGTTTATTGTAAAGTGGGCGATAAACAAACAAGAGAGACTTGCGACAGAAAAGCCGATCAGCTGAACACTGATCAGTTTCATGATTGAAGTAGCAATTGGGGGAGAGAATAGGGGAAGAAGAAGAAGAGGCAAAAATTGAACAAATATATATCTAAACGTTTTCCTTATATTAAGAATGAACATAACGGCTTATGTTAAGTTCTAAATAAAGTTTTGTGAGAGTAAAAAAAAAAAGAATAATCACTCAGGCACCTCTGCAGACAACTACAACCGGCTAGTGAGGGTCCTTTTCCTCCACATAGCTGGTGACGATTAGCAGCGAACATGCCGACTGTCGGAGTTAAACGGGATCTTCTATTCAAAGCTTTGGGTAGAAGTTACAGTAAGTCATATTTACTGTATTTTCCGGTAACCTTTAATCTGCTCGTCTGTTTTCTCTTTTTTTATTTTTGCTTCTAAACGACAGAGTTCAGGTCAGTACGTTGTGAACTCGCTGTCCGATTGTTAGCAATGTAGCAGCTGCTCATGAACTATAGAGCTAATTTTAACTGCCTTCATTTCTAATTATTAAAGAAAGTACCACTTATTTGATGGCGAGTTTATTTTGGTTTATTTGTTAACTTATGTATTTTTTGCGATAAGGAAATAGTACTAGTTCATTTCTATCTGCCTGTTGACTGACAGCGTGATTGCATCATTTCCTCCGCTTCCTCCTGTCATTTAAGCCTCTGGGTTTGTTCAGAATCACTATCCTGTCAGCTTGTTCGTTGCCAAAAGTGTCCACCAACAGATTAAGTCTGCAGTTTTTATTGTTTTTATGTTTTGTTGCTATTTTTACTGCATAAAGTCTTTAACATCAGTTTTTATCATCTTTTTTATAAATATAAAATGGTCATCACGTTCGTTTGTACAATGCACTTGTTGGAGGACAACATCAAAAACGACCATTTCATATATTTGCAGTGCTGCTTGATTTTCTTGTATTGTTAATGGAGTCTGGGACATGTAATCGATTAGATAAACATTGTCATGAATTCCCTCTTACTTTCGCTGTTTTGCTTCCACCACGATAAAATCACACTTCCTGCACAGCTCTCTCTCAGTGTACTTCATGACCAGTATCTCAAATCTGTTTTCTGCATTATTCGCTTTATTTGTTTATTATTCGCTTATTACGCACAAGTCATGTACAGTGCTGTCGGCCGTTGTTTTTTGTTTTTTGTTTCCAAAAACGACCTCCGAC